GCTAGCATTCTGAAGAAGCATTCTCTTGTGTGTAACTAAACGGACGTAGAGTACAACACTAATATCGCGACAAACAACATTAAGTAATAATTGTAGTTGCCTTTCGTGGTTGTTTCGGCGCCTTCCTCCACCCTCTCTCTTGCATCCAACAGCAAGTCCTAAATAACTTTAAATCTGAATAAATCTACAACCTTAGCAACCTCCTTCACACGCACTCACATCATCACTCTTTCATATGCACTCAAATCTTTCATACACCCACACACTTGTATCAAACTTGCATCCTTTCACTACTCTGGCACGGAAACACCGGAAGATTATATATATATATATATATATATATATATATATATATATATATATATATATATATATATAACTAGAGACCATTTCCTTGCACAACTAAGCACGCCCTATTTTTCGGTAGACCACGACCAGAAACGCTCCATATATTAAAACTCTTTATTTCATCAACAATACAAAATAATGTCTGAGATTTTAAATACAATAGGTACATATATATATCGCTAAGACAACAGTATATAATAGTAAATATTAAGGAGAAGCACAGGGTGAGAAACCGAGTACATAAGGCACTGCTGCTGACGAAGGGGCGTAGCCTCGCCCAGCAGGAGGGACGAAGCCTCGCCCAGCAGGAGGGACGAAGCCTCGCCCAGCAGGAAGGACGGAGCCTCGCCCACCAGGAGGGACGTAGCCTTGCCCAGCAGGAAGGACGTAGCTTCGCCCAGCAGGAGGGATGTAGCCTTGCCCAGCAGGAGGGACGTAGCCTTGCCCAGCAGGAGGGACGTAGCCTTGCCCAGCAGGAGGGATGTAGCTTCGCCCAGGTGGCACTGTTGATGCCTCAAGGGAGACACAGGCGGTCTTGGAGCATACAGTTAACACAGACCAAAATGATACACACAAACAGGCTAATGTTTTGACGTGTTTCTTCAATATATATACCAGAGCATGAATAACGTTTAAATTAATGAGAGAAACGGCTTTCTTATATATAGTGCTCCACTGTCTACAGATGGTATCCAAGGCGTACCATGTTTTGAAGGCGTACCGTGCGTGTTTTGAAGAGTTGCTGCTGAAAGTCTTGAGAAGTTATTCTTAGGAGTCATACAGTTGGTACCAAGTTACTGCTTGGTCTTAAACTGTAATTGAAGGAGCCGCTTCTACGAATCCATCTTGACTGAGTGAATATTTCCTTGTTTGGTACGTTTATTATTGCTTTTAAAATAAAAGTGTCTTTGTTCAATAACTTCCTATTCTTTCTTACACGAAAATACTTTAATTTATATATCTACGGACGCATTGCATTCTAATGGTCGGTGACCATATAAGCTGCTCAGATGTCATACGTCTTCTTCTCTGGTCTCTTAGATTTGTGGAATGGCTGCCACTAAGATTTAGAGCTCCGCCGCTCCCCTCGTCAGCAGTAGAGGTGGAAGCAATAGTAGTGGTAATGGATGTGGTCCTAGTCTTCGTCCTCATCATCGTCAGAGACACCCATGCAGCCAGGGCACACGGGCTGGTTGTCGACAGCGTAGTACTGTTTCTTCCTCATGCTCTCCTTGCAGTCCTTCGGGGAGGGAACCGCCAGTATTAACTCGCTGTTATTTACTGGTGTCTAGAAAACCTTTATTTATAGTGAAGTTTCTGCCACACATTTGTTAAAAGCCACACAATATGGTGAATAATATCACACACTGTAACAAGTGCATCACGTGTTAACTTAGTTACACACACACACATTACCACATTAGGTGACAGGCTTAGTACGTTAGTTGAAGATTCAGCACTAATTGTTGCTTGAACACTGAGTGAAGAGAGAAAACCTGTGAGTTAGTCAGCAATGTTTGGCGTAATTCATTAGCTGCTCTTAACAACGCAGGATGTAAAGTGCGTTACAATGTGAGACCCTAGAAAATGATCCCTTAATGAAGCGTTATATCTTCCTACTTCATGAAGTTATTAGTACTGGTATTGTGCTACATATCTATGGCGAAATTTGAATTTAAATTTGTTTACAGTTGTAAAAAAAAAAAACTAAAACAGAATTAACGATATCGTAAACCTGTTTTCTTTATATAAAAAGAGCAAAACACGGATGAATGTTTTTTGCAATTGTCTGTTAGTTTGAGTTCACGTGTCTTACCACTCTAACGCCTGAACGACTTTACAGATTTTAAAGAAAATGAAGTCAGTAATTTACCATAACATTTGTAGAAACTGCTTTGGAGCTTCGACTACATCAGGAAAAATGAACGGACTGTTTACCGTAATTTTAGTTAGGCCAGATTACCAAGGGACAAATTTTTCTTTCTGTTGTATAAAACGTTCTGTAAATAGTTTGAACAGGATGCAATAAAATAATTTATTCATGTAAATTTAGATGTTTCATACCCATCTAAACCAAGAGATGTTTGGAGGTGGTGATGGTGGTGTGTTTGGAGGTGGTGATGGTAGTGTGTTTGGTGGTGTGTTTGGTGGTGATGGTGTGTTTGGTGGTGATGGTGGTGTGTTTGGAGGTGGTGATGGTGGTGTGTTTGGTGGTGTGTTTGGTGGTGATGGTGTGTTTGGTGGTGATGGTGGTGTGTTTGGAGGTGGTGATGGTGGTGTGTTTGGTGGTGTGTTTGGTGGTGTGTTTGGTGGTGATGGTGTGTTTGGTGGTGATGGTGGTGTGTTTGGAGGTGGTGATGGTGTGTTTGGTGATGGTGGTGTGTTTGGAGGTGGTGATGGTGGTGTGTTTGGAGGTGGTGATGGTGGTGTGTTTGGAGGTGGTGATGGTGGTGTGTTTGGAGGTGGTGATGGTGGTGTTGGTGGTAGGGTTTGATGGTGGTGGTGGTGGTAGGGTGTTTGGTGGTGGGGTGTTTGGTGGTGATGGTGGTGTTGGTGGTAGGGTGTTTGGTGGTGGTGGTGGTATGGTGTTTGGTGGTGGGGTGTTTGGTGGTGATAGTGGTGATGATGGTGTTGGTGGTAGAGTGTTTGGTGGTGGTGGTGGTGTGGTGTCGGGTGATGGCAATGGTGCTGGCAATGGTGCTGGCAGTGGTGGTAATAGCCATAAGATATAATTCTGAATATTGAATTAAACATTATTAAGGAACCCAAACAACAATGAAGAAGAATTTGCAAATCAAAACATATGGGTTTTGTTAATGAAAATTTGCATTCGAGGTATGATAAACACACATTCCAAATACCATTTGAATACCTTGCTAAAAGTACAAAATATATCATGTAACTATTACACAACTATCTTGGGCATGGCTGGTAAAGGAGACTACTGGGTAGTCATCCTTGGCACTGGAGCGCGAGTATAGTAATCGCCAACCCACTTTGTTTATTCATTTTTGAGGTATCGCTAAAGTTCTTCCCATCCGCCCCTTCCCTGCTAAAGATTTTCAAAAAAGTTCTAAAAATCCTGTCACGAGGAGCCTCCACGGCCCAACAGCAATGGAGATTTTCCTTGCCACTGTCATACGAAAGTTTTCAATGTTTTCAGATGATACATGAAGGCGTTCTCAACCTATTACACCGATAGTTTTAGTACACGAGCAAATAATGTGGAGAGAACTAGCAGGTGACCTTGCGGGGTGCCTGGTGTTAAAGCTAAGCCTGCCAATGGTTGTGAGAGGCGTCAGGGATTGCTGCTGGGAACACTACTGCATGCCAAGCACAGTATAAAATAGAGAGAGAGACATTTTATATCATATGTATAACACGACCTATAAAATGTTAATTCGACATATGGTAGCTTATGTCTCCAACATCTATATAGAGAGCAATAACATTTAAAGAATAATGGAATAGTATTGTCTAGAATCAAGACTTCGGAGTATTTGCAATGTTTATATTCCATGTATCAGAAACATCTAAGAATAACGACGGGTAACCTGCATTAAGACCATGAACTGTGAGAGAGCGTCCCGAGACTGGCGCGGGGATCCCAGCTGCCCTCATGTAGCTCAACACACACACACACACACACACAGGGACACTGTTCGGCAGGTGTTGCATCCATCAAAGACACCTGTACGGTAATTAAATATCACTTACCTTGACTGCAACTACGAGAGCCCAGCAGCAACAACAACAACAGACGACGGTGACTAGGACTTACATTATCATGCAATTTGCACACGCACACAGAGGAGACCGGGCAGGAATAAGAGTGAAATTTACTTTTTAAATGTTGTATTGTGGACGAGAGTTAATGTTTAACTAGTCTGTGAGATATATATATATATATATATATATATATATATATATATATATATATATATATATATATATATATATATATATAATATATATATATATATATATATATATTATATATATATATATATATATATATATATATATAATATATATATATATATATATAATATATATATATATATATATATATATATATATATATATATATATATATATATATATATATATATATATATATATATATATATATATATATATATATATATATATATATATATATATATATATATATATATATATAATATATATATATATATATATATATAATATATATATATATATATATATATATATATATATATATATATATATATATATATATATATATATATATATATATATATAATATATATATATATATATATATATATAATATATATATATATATATATATATATATATATATATATATATATATATATATAATATATATATATATATATATATATATATATATATATATATATATATATATATATATATATATATATATTTGTGTGTGAGTGTGTGTGAGTGTGTATTTTACAAAGTACTGCGAGAAGTGAATATAAAAGATAAAAAAGGGTAAATTAATGGAAATTAATAATGAAAGCTGAATTGAATTACCTGGACCAGTAATTACAGTCACTGCTACAAGTGGAGAGGTACGGTCAGGATAGAAGCGAGAGAAGGGCGCGGAGTGGGGGTGGGTAGAGGACAGGCTCACTTACCCTGCAGACGAAACACTCTGGATGCCACTGAGCGTTGAGGGCGGAGATGTAGTTCTCCATGATGGGGGAGTTGCAGCCGCCACACTTGGGCGCGAACATGTTGAAGTAGTCGTCCCGGCAGTAGGGCTTGCCGTCCTTCTCGTGGAAGCCGTCCTCTCCGAAGGTGTTGCCGCACTGGGTGCAGAAGAAGTGCTCCGGGTGCCACGTCTTGTCCAGCGCCGTCACACATTTCTGGTTCAACACACAAATCACACATTGAAGGTGTTAATGAGGCAGAGCTCCGAGGGAGGGGTTGAGTGTGGACCCAATTAACATGTTTCGCGCCTGCGCACTCACGGTGCCCTTCACGTGTTGTCTCAAGTACAAATAACTTGCTGGGGTCGGTCCCGGCAAAATACCAGTGAGGAAGAACCTACAGAATATCCTGTCATGAAAATTAGTGCTAAGTATTGTGCTGCCTATTAGGCTTACTCTCCAACAAGTACCCACAAGTTCCCAACGTGCACCAAGAAAGTATATACAGTGATTCTGCCGGAAATTTCTGTTACGCCCTGACACTTATACTCGCAATAATACATAGAGAATTGAATTAAGTTTTGAACTTGTTGTTTTAGATTTAGTTAGAACAAGATGTCCATGTAGCACGGGCTATAGTGACACCGTAATTGAGTCCAGTTATCCCTCCCTCCCTCCCTCCCTCTCGTCCCCCTTCCCATCCTTCCCTCCCTCCCATCCCTCCCTCCCTCTCGTCCCTCCTCCCATCCCGGGACTCACGTCAAGGATGGGGCCGTTGCAGTAGGCACAGCGGGGGGAGAAGAGGTTGTGGTAGTCGGGTTCGCAGTACGGCTTGCCGTCGCGCTCGAAGAAGTTGCGGGTGCCCAGCTCCTGGTTGCAGTGGGAGCAGGTGAAGTGCTCGGGGTGCCAGGTCTTGCCCAGGGCCGTGATCACCTGTCACGCGAATGCACACAAACACGCATACCCACACGCGCGCGTGCACCCAAGAGAAGAAAAGCACATTACTAAAACAGGCTTGAAATCGACGTCAATATAAACACTGTTTTATCGGACAAGTGAATAATGAATAGCAGCCACTGTGTGTGTGTGAGAGAGAGACAGTCAGTATACGACAGTGTGTGTGTGTGAGCAACCCGTTCTCGCAAATTCGTAAAGTCAATATTGACTTATTAACTACGTGCATAGGTGATATACTAAACATAATAGATACCCTTAAAAAGATTCATAGAAAACACCGACCTTACCTAACCTTGTTAGTATCTTAAGATAAGCATCTTATTGCTTCGTAATTACAATTATTACTTAACCTATACCTATTATAGGTTAGGTAATAATTGTAATTACGAAGCTATAAGATGCTTATCTTAAGATACTAACAAGGTTAGGTAAGGTCGGTGTTTTCTATGGATCTTTTTAAGGGTATCTATTATGTTAAGAATGTCACCTATGCACATATTTAATAAGTCAATATTGACTTATTAAATTTGCGAGAACGGGTTGGTGTGAGACAGTGTGCGGGAGTGACAGGTGTGTGACAGGTGTGTGACAGCGTGTGCCCGCCAGTACAGAAGCTACAGAGAGAGAGGGACTGACCTGGCCGACGATGGGCTTGTCGCAGGCGCAACAGCAGCCCTTCTGCGTGGTGGTGATGCCCTGCTCCGTCATGTGGGAAGCCAGGGAGCCGAGCATACAATCCAGCTGGTTGACCGGGGGCGGGGTGGGCGTGGGCTCCTTGGGCGGCGAGGGCGCGGGTGCCGCCGAGAAGAAAGGCGCGGGGGCTGCTGGGGCGGGAGGCGAGGGGCTCTTGGCCGGCTTCTGCGGCTTGGCGTACGCAGAGTCTACCTGCGTCTGGAGGCTGCTGGCGTTGATCTGTGGGAGCATGTATGCGGGCAGATGAGTCTCAGGGGCTCACACAGAGATGGTCAGGCTGTTGGGCTGGCGTAGGGACTACTGGTGAGGACTGGGAGCGGGGGGATGGGGCAGTTAGGTAGCCAGTGTGCAAGAAATTGTCATGTAAGACTCGCCATGGTGGCAGACATGACAGTGGCGGGCTGGGGTGGGAGGGGGTCACTGGAGCGAGCAGGTGGGGAGCAGCGCAGTGATTGGAAGTGCGCCCACACCGCCTTCACAGGTGCAGAGAGGTTGCCAGGACACGGTGGAGGTGCTTCCTAGTGCCCTATACCAGCGCTTCCCAAGCTCATGTTATGAGCTTCCCAATGTTATGAATGACATTCAAGCTACAGATAATATAACGGATATTACCACAAACTCGGAAGACTTTGAAAGAGAAATTGATAATATGCCTATTCACTCAGCTCCTGGGCCTGACTCATGGAATTCAATATTCATAAAGAAATGTAAAGTACCAGTAGCGAGAGCACTCAGCGTAATATGGAGAAAGAGCCTGGATACAGGGGAGATACCAGCAGCACTTAAATCTGCAGATATAGCTCCGTTGCACAAGGGGGGGAGTAAAGCCTTGGCAAAAAATTATAGGCCAGTTGCACTAACATCACACATAATAAAAGTGTTTGAAAGAGTGATTAGGAATCAAATTTCTAGTTTTATGGAAAACAATGAATTGCACAATCCAGGACAACATGGATTTAGAGCGGGAAGATCCTGTCTGTCACAGTTACTCAACCACTATGACAAAATCACAGAAGCCCTAGAAGAAAAGCAAAATGCAGATGTTGTATACACAGACTTTGTAAAGGCGTTCGACAAATGTGACCATGGGGTGATAGCTCACAAAATGAGGTCAATGGGAATAACTGGAAAAGTAGGACGCTGGATACTCAATTTCCTGTCGAACAGAACACAAAGAGTAACAATCAATCAGATAAAATCGAGTCCAAGCGATGTTAAAAGCTCTGTACCTCAAGGTACAGTCCTTGCACCGCTACTGTTCCTTATTCTCATATCTGATATAGACAAAAATACACGCCACAGCTTCGTGTCGTCCTTTGCAGATGACACAAAAATCAGCATGAAAATTACCTCTGCTGAAGACATTGAAAAACTACAAGCAGATGTCAACAAAGTTTTCGATTGGGCAGCAGAAAATAACATGATGTTTAACAGTGATAAATTTCAGGTACTCAGGTACGGCAAAAATGAGGATCTGAAACATAATACAGGGTACAAAACACAATCGAATCTTCCCATAGTAGAAAAACAGCATGTCAAGGATTTGGGAATAATGATGTCCGACGATCTAACGTTTAGGGAGCATAACCAAGCAAATATCGCGTCAGCCAGAAAAATGATCGGATGGATTACGAGAACTTTCAAATCCAGGGATCCCATCACAATGGTTGTACTCTTCAAGTCACTTGTGCTGTCCCGTCTCGAGTACTGCTCAGTACTCACTTCCCCCTTCAGAGCAGGAGAGATTGCTGAAATAGAGGGAATACAGAGAACATATACGGCACGCATAGACGAGATAAAACACCTAAATTATTGGGATCGTCTCAAAGCTCTCCAAATGTACTCTCTAGAAAGGAGACGAGAGAGATACCAAATAATATACACATGGAAAATACTGGAGGGTCAGGTCCCAAATCTACACAGTAAAATAACAACGTACTGGAGTGAACGATATGGAAGAAAATGCAAGATTGAACCAGTGAAGAGCAGAGGTGCCATAGGCACAATCAGAGAGCACTGTATAAACATCAGAGGTCCGCGGTTGTTCAACGTCCTCCCAGCGACTATAAGAAATATTGCCGGAACAACCGTGGACATCTTCAAGAGAAAACTGGACGGTTTTCTAAGAGAAGTTCCGGATCAGCCGGGCTGTGGTGGGTACGTGGCCCTGCGGGCCGCTCCAAGCAACAGCCTGGTGGACCAAACTCTCACAAGTCGAGCCTGGCCTCGGGCCGGGCTTGGGGAGTAGAAGAACTCCCAGAACCCCATCAACCAGGTATCAACCAGGTATCACATTACCAGTACACTGCCCCAACTTATGGCCCCCTATTTATTGCAAAAAGGCCCACCAGGAGTCATGGCCAGTTTGGGAACCAGTGCCCTATACTGAGCAGCTGTGGCGTATGTCCCCTACTGAGCAGCTGTGGCTTATGTCCCCTACTGAGCAGCTGTGGCGTATGTCCCCTACTGAGCAGCTGTGGCTTATGTCCCCTACTGAGCAGCTGTGGCGTATGTCCCCTACTGAGCAGCTGTGACATATGTCCCTTACTGAGCAGCTGTGGTTTATGTCCCCTACTGAGCAGCTGTGGTTTATGTCCCCTACTGAGCAGCTGTGGCGTATGTCCCCTACTGAGCAGCTGTGGCGTATGTCCCCTACTGAGCAGCTGTGACATATGTCCCTTACTGAGCAGCTGTGGTTTATGTCCCCTACTGAGCAGCTGTGGTTTATGTCCCCTACTGAGCAGCTGTGGCGTATGTCCCCTACTGAGCAGCTGTGACATATGTCCCCTACTGAGCAGCTGTGGCATATGTCCCCTACTGAGCAGCTGTGGCATATGTCCCCTACTGGGCAGCTGTGGCGTATGTCCCCTACTGAGCAGCTGTGGCGTATGTCCCCTACTGAGCAGCTGTGGTGTATGTCCCCTACTGAGCAGCTGTGGCGTATGTCCCCTACTGAGCAGCTGTGGCGGATGTCCCCTACTGAGCAGCTGTGGCGTATGTCCCCTACTGAGCAGCTGTGGCGGATGTCCCCTACTGAGCAGCTGTGGCGTATGTGTCGTGGACCCCAGTGGTCCTCACACACTGCCTGTGGTGTCGTGGACCCCAGTGGTCCTCACACACTACCTGTGGGGTGTAGAGGTGTGGCCTCACCCCTGGGGGCGTGCCAACATGAGGGGCGTGTCCAGGTGCGACCATTAGGTAATGTTTGAGGCAAGAATGAAGTCCCATTAATAATCTCTGCTATACGAGAGATTACTAATCACATTAGCACGGATGTGTCAGTGCAGATCTTGGTCACCGAGAATCATGACTTATAGTCCGCCAATGAGAATAAATAAACTACTTTGTAAGTCTAAGTTATATAGAACTGGTCCTTGTATAATACTAGTGAGCTAACTTAATATGTAAAATCTAATCCAACTTAGTTGTAGCATGTTGCCAAAGAGGCAACCTCGACGTGGGTTAATTTTAAGTTTGAATACGTGAGGAGTTGTTGAAATTCGTTCTCATTCCATTCCAGTTTTTCATTTCATAAGTCAGCCCGTCCTCCAAAGACCCAAAAGTGATTTCATATACCCACTAGACCCCAGCTGTTTATGAATGAAAAACGGTTTACACACGACTCACAACTGATGACGTTCGAACACTTCCGGAACAAGTGCTTCACTGACGAATTTTGTTCGAACCACAACGCTGTAAATGCTTCACCCACGTACTACAAATACAAATAATCGCCAACAGAACTTAAACACCTAACCTAACCTATGCCTATTTATGTACAATATGCTAATATATTATAATATTAATTTATATTTGAGAAAATTCCTGTTTTGAATGAACAGCATGTTAAAATTGATGAATGCGTCTTTGGGGTCGACCGATGGATGGAATGGACTTGGTCTGAGGACGGGTTGCATAAGTATACAATGTAAGGGGGTGTTTGGGTAACACGCAAACTGTCCCCTAGTGTGCTTCAGAGTGGCATCACAGCTTGTGTGACCCTTGCGTGCGTGTGTGCACACCCACCTACCTAGTTGTATTTGTCTAGTTGTGTTTGCGGGGGTTGAGCTTTCGGCTCTTGTGTGCGCGTTTGTGCTTGTGTGCGCGTTTGTGCGTGTATGCGCGTGTGTATATATACTCACCAATTTGTGTGCACACAGGATTGAGCATTGATCTTCGACCCAACGTTTCTAGCTGCAGGTTACTTATTGTAGTAACGCTTGACCTGTTTCTCTACCATATCTACTTTTAAACTTATGAATGGAGTTTGCTTCTACAGCCTGCTTCTTCAGTTCATCCCCTTCCCCACTACTCTCACGCTAAAATAGATTTTTTTTAACATATCTGTGACTCATCCGAGTTATAGATATGACTCGCACAAGCTTCCATCCATATCCTCTTGTTCCATTGGTATTTATTGTGATCATGTCACCTTTTGCCACTCTGTCATCTCCCTGATGTATTTTATACATCTCTATCATGTCTCCCCCTCCCCCCTCTCTCTCTCTCCCTCTTCTTTTCTGGGACGAGCCTCATCGTAAACTTTAGAACCTATTCGAGTCTGCTTGTGTTTGTCTTCAGGTTGGGCTGCAAGATGGGGCGGCGTACCAGTCTCGCTTAGACGGTACACAGGGATCTAAACTCCTCCTTGTTTAACTTCGTTAATGATGTTCGAACTTTTGCTAGAGTAGAGTACGCTGGTGGTGATATTACCCTCTTCATGTGTGTGTGTGTGTGTGTGTGTGTGTGTGTGTGTGTGTGTGTGTGTGTGTGTGTGTGTGTGTGTGTGTGTGTGTGTGTGTGTGTATTTACTGTATGTGCCTACTGGATAAAGCTGTTAGCTCTTGGACCCCGCCTTTCTAATCGTTGGTTGTCTAAAACACTGACTGCTCCCTCCCTCCACACTTCCCCCTCCCCCCCCCCGTCTTATCAAACAGCTACTACTCCTTCCAAGTGCTATATAGACATACTGGCTTAGTGCTTTATCCTTATAATTACTGTACTAACTCCCGACATATTTTTCCCTATCACATCTATTATCTATTTTCTAAACACACACACACACACACACACACACACACACACACACACACACACACACACACACACACACACACACACACACACACGATGCAGCTCGTGGCAGCTGTCTAACTCTCAGGTAACTATTTACTGCTAGGCGAACAGGTGCATCAGGTGATAGAAACTCGGCCCGTTTG